AAAATAATTTTACATAAATTGGAACAAATAAATTAACTAAATGTTTTCTGGTTTTCTTCTGAATAATGACTATCCATATTCCGTTTATAAATAATATGGAATAATACAATTATTGAACTAAATTTCTAATCAATTGAAAAAAAATTCAAAAAATGCCAGTTTTGCTTTCAAATAATTTTTTCATAAATGAAATTTGTCAAAATCCAGTAAAGGCTGAGAAAAAAATGTTACATCTATTTTTCCCAAATATGATTTTTGTTTAATAAATCAACAGATTTCTAATGCATGAAAGAGTGGTTAGAAACAAAAAATTATCAAAATTAATTCTTACATATTGACGTTATTTTTACATTTTTACAAACTTTGCATTTGTGAAAGGCTTGGCTTGGCTACTGTTGGCTTAGGGTAGGGTAGAGGGGGGGGGGACATGCAGAATAAGAGGGGGAGGGGGTCAAGGTGATCAAAAAATAATGTGTCTAAAGAAATGAAGCAAGAATTATCTTTCCTCAGAAAAAAAATTTTGTTTTTGTTTTTTAACTTTTGCAATAATTATTTTAAATCTCCCTACTGGTAGAATTGTCATGGTATAGGGGACACATACTTTACATTGTTTCCCTCTTACATTGGGATCAGTTTATACAATCTATATATCCAAACCATCTATACATTGCCATCTATACATACCATCTCTAACTCATCTATCTACATATCTATCTATCCATACCATCTATACATTTACATATTTATCTTCTATCCACATATCTACCCATCAAAACCTTTGCATTTTAAATGTTAGAAACGAATCAAAATAAAGTGGATATAGATAAGTGCAGCATCTCAAGAAATAAAGTAAATACAGGATTAGTCAAAAAAAAAGTAAGAATTGCGGCGTCTGGTGCAAAATTGTATTTTTTTGTGCAATTCTTCTGTATGTAATTTTTTCAAGATACATATATTTTTTTTGGTACTCTAATGGCTCGAAAATAATCCGCAAAACTTCTCTCTTCAAATCTAAAGTTCAGGAAAGCTAAAACGTACATATATATTATTTCTATCTAATTCTAACATTTTGTTAATATTGAATAGCCGAATTCGCTAAATTGTCATAAGAAAATTTGCCAAATTGTCATAAGAAAATTCGCAATTTTCAGTTTTAGTCAATTTTTGTTTTTCGATGAGAGCATCAACATTTGTTGCTCGCTTTAGGCGTTGTTTCATGATTAACTCTAACTTACTTATGCTTTTCTGTAGCACTTTACAAGTACATTTTAGCGTTTTAAAACTTTGGATTTTAAGAAGTAATTCTCAAAACTCTCATCGATTTTTCCTTGAGATCGTGACACTTGTAAATTACCGTGATATGAGAGTCCTTATTATCTAAATGTTCCAGGATAATTGATGTTTCAGAGTATAACTTTTCCAGGAAATTTTCCCATATAGGATTTATAGCTGAGGCTATATTGTATGATTTAGGATAGGCTGAGGCTAGATTGTATGGTTTAGGATGGGCTGGGGCTATATTGTATGGTTTAGAATAGGCTGGGGCTTTATTGTATGGTTTAGGATAGGCTGGGGCTATATTGTATGGTTTAGGATAGGCTGGGGCTATATTGTATGGTTTAGGATAGGCTGGGGCTAGATTGTATGGTTTAGGATAGGCTGGGGCTATATTGTATAGTTTAGAAAAGCTAAAGGAGAACGAGCCAGATGGCTAATAATCAAAGCAGGAAAATCCACGTTCGGAATTTTAGCAATTTTTAAGAAAATGTCCTGGGTAAAACCCACTTGGGAAAGTTTAGTTTGATCGAGATTATTCCAAGAAATCTCTTATTTTAGAAACTTCTCGGTTTTCCTATTTCTCGACAGTTTTGTCTGGTTGACGGTTTAACGTTAATTACTGTTAATAAATCTCATTAAAACGATTAGTCTGGGAATTCAGGGGCAACAGTAGAGAAGGACGGACAGGGGTGGGAGGCATATTTAGGGTAACTANTAGATTTTTTTTTAATGTTGAATCTTAAAATATTGAATTTGAAAAAATTTCCGCAATTTCAGCTTTGAGCATTATTTACAAGTATTTTTACAGCCCTGATCTATGAATACCACCTGTAGACTGTAGACCAGACGGTAGAGATTTAAATATAAACACGTGGGCCCAGTCCACCACCCCACCCCTCCCCAATATTACACCCTAGAGGGGAGAGAAATGTCTAGTTCCGGAATTAACCCCCTCCCCTCTTGATCCCTTCATTATTTACTAAAAGTTAATACTCAAGAAGCCCATTAGGACCTTGTAATATACTCCAAACCTATATCCTTTAGACCCTCTACTGTTTATCGTCCAGACCCTGCAATACTTTCCAAATCTCTGTTATCCTGATAAACCTGCATTGTCCTCCTAAACCTCCATTATCCTTCTAAACCTCCATTATCCTCCTAAACCTCCATTATCCTCCTGAGCCTCCATTATCCTCCAAAACCTACATTAGCCTCTTAAACCTCCATTATCCTCCTAAACCTCTTTTGATTCTAAATTAATATTCTTCTTATTTATTCAATAAAAAAATCCCGACTCACAAGTTTTTAAACGTAAAGACAAGAAAATCAAAATAAAATGCCCTATTGTCAATTAATTAAAAATTTGAGAGCATAATAAAAGTCAAGTTGCAAACGACTTAAATGCATTGGTTATCGAAATAATTAGTTTTGCTAAGGTTAAGATGTGATTATTTCTTGGCTCAGCGCTACGGATAGACCGGACCACACCATACCAGAGCGTTGCAATTTTCAAAACAGATATTTGCTTGGCTATTGATAATTTGTTCTTTCTTTGCGCATTTTTCTCTTTTTTAAGCTCTTTTCCCCAACTACCATATCCTCGATCCTATCTTTCAATAATATTTACTCTTTTTTCCATATGTTCGTAAATAATTTTAAAAATAATGCCTATATTTCTACACATCTCTGCATAAAATGTAAAGTGTGAAGACTTGTTAAAGACTGAAAGAAACTCTATAACATATTAGAAAAGCAGTAATATGGAAAAAAGATCTGAGTCTTTGCCACCAAATCAAATATTCGAATGCCTGTATATTTGCAACCCAATGTTGTAATCAGCTTTGACATATTTGATAAAAGAGAATTAAAGTTTGTAATATCTAAAGTCTATATTATTGAGTTGTTCAGATATATAGGATACAAAAATCAGAGTGTATGCAGTGGCAAAGACTCAAATCATTTATCAATGCAAAATTCATACATTTTTGTATTGAATTGTATTATACAAGGTCACCCTCAAAGACCACTGTGCCAAATATATCAAATCTTGAAGCTGACATTACTTTTGTTGCTACATTTAAACTGTTAACTTTTAAAATTCTTTTGTAATGTATCAATGTCATTAATAGTCAAATGTTAAGGCAATAGAAAAAGTTATTCCATTTTATTGAAAGGTTTCAAATAAGTCTCATCCTATATGGGTAACACAAATTGTATTTTATTTTCATAATTAATATGAATAAGAACATTTCAACTTACAAATTGTGAAGATTGAATAATGCTTGAATTTATATTTTCTCAATTTCAATTAAAAACAGAAATTTCGAATAAAAACCAAAATAAACTTTATGATTCTTAAAGGTGGTCTTCAAAGAAATTATTAACTCATTTGCGGGACAAATAATGTTTGCCTTTTCATAGGAGTCCAAAAATAATTGCATAATAATCGAACTATAAGCTCAACTTTGAACTAGATCAACTAGAATAAAAACATTCCATGTTTCAATCAAGTGCCCTAATCAAAATTTGAGGCAAATCAGTCAAGGACTTTTTAAGAATTAGGATCGGATATACACACTATTAATAGACAAACAGAATTAGGATCGGATATACACTATTAACAGACAAACAGAATTAGGATCGGATATACACACTATTAACAGACAAACAGAATTAGGATCATATATACACACTATTAACAGACAAACAGAATTAGGATCGGATATACACACTATTAACAGACAAACAGAATTAGGATCGGATATACACACTATTAACAGACAAACAGAATTAGGATCGGATATACACACTGTTAACAGACAAACAGAATTTTCGACTTTACAATATAAATATATTAAACTTGGTTATGATAATCATGTACTATTTATACGTGCTTGGGAACCCGGCTTTGCCTGGAAACTAAGTATTACATATTTAAGTCAAATGATAAAAAAAACTTTATGTGAAGAAATTAAAGAATTTTTTCTTAAGTTGTAGATTTATTTCTTTTAAAATATATTTAAGTTCAAAACTTGTACCCCAAGTTAAGAACATTCCTACCAAGTTTCCCAATCAAATTTAAGGCAAATCGGTCCAGGAGTTCCTGAGTTATGATCGAACATTTTAAGAAACAGAGAGACAAAGAGAGGTTGCTACTTTATATTTATATATATATATAGATCAATTAATCTCAAGAAGACGACATGTCGCTCTATATTCATCAAAAAATCATTTCATGGGACACACAAGTTTAGAACAAGCTAGAAGCTGGTATAGATCCATTCCAAGTATTTTTTGAAGCAAGTAACAATAAACAAAAGTATTTTATTTAATTTTTGAAAAAAAATATTTTTGAATTTGTTTTTATTTTCTTGTAAGAAAAACATATTTACTATTTACCATCTTTGAATATTTTTTCAAAGTTCTTTATGCTGGTAACTTTCCATGCGAAACTGATTATATTCTATTGTAGGGACTTTATACTTCAGGAAAACATCTAGAAATTATCAGAATTACGCACGTTTAAACCTGGAAACATGACAATATCTTCAACTTATTAAGTTATTGATAAAATAAAGGTATCAAGTGTACGGTTTTGAACTGGGAATTGTTATCTTTGAATGAAGGGTCAACTGAAATTACTGTAATTACACTTACAGTCCCATTAATCCTTGTTTGAAAATGTATCTGTACGTATACTCTTTCCAAATTAAAGAAATTGATTAACAACATAATAATATTTATTTAACAATATCCATAATTTATATTTACAGATTAAATCACAGGAAGAGCAAAACATACACTACTACCAAATATCAATAAGAATAAAACTGGGAATAATTGTAGAAATTGTAATAGTTCATGTTCATCTGCTGCTCCCAGGAACCAGGGGTTTGCTCTGGGAGCAGGTTTAGAGCAGGTTTGTTCTCAGAGCCTTTGCTCTGCTTTCTCTTTCTAGTTTGGAGGTTCTCTTTTTTCAATGAAATTGGTCTTGGTTGGTTGTGAACCTTCTGATAGAGTCCACAGGCATTACAGACAATCTCTCCTGATGTTGTTCTTCTCCACAATGTTGTTGTTGTTGTAGAGCAGTTGCCACAGCTTGTTCCTTCTAGCTTACTAGAGGCTACACGTGTTTGAGTCGGTTTAACAACAGGTCGGTTTACGCCGTTGGACTTGTGATAGAGTCCACAGGCGTTACATAAATAGTTTCCACTTGGATCTCTTCGCCATAGAGGTGTAGAGGTCACCCCGCAGTTTACACATTGATGACCGAGTTTTGTCTTTTCGTTGACATCAGCAGAGCTGAAGAAAAAGTTTTCAGTTGTTGAACAAAATCCGGGAGATGAATTGAATCCGGATAACGAACTGGAGCCAGGTGATGAGGGAGAATAGGATCCGGTTGATGAGGGTCGGGTGGTGGGTGAGTAGCTACCAGAGCTGCTAGTGGGTGAGGGTGAGGAGGGGTATGTTTGGAATTGTTGAGGTTGATGTTGGTAGGCATATGGGAAGAACTCTTGAGTTGGATTGTACATTGTTCCAGGGTTATACATAGTACCGTAGTAATCCATTCTCACGAAGACCTCAACGCCGATGATAATCTGCAAAGTTAGGATAAGATCTGGAGATCTGAACCAGATGAGAGCCAGACAATCACTGATCTTCTATTGACTGGACAGGACAGATATCAGGGCGCAGATGAAGGGGGGTCACCTGCTCATTAACCATTGGTTGATTTATATTCACATTGGAGCCAATCAGAAAAGAATTGTTTAGTAAATAAGTAGTATTAATGCAACACCGGATACAGCCTAATTAATGAAAATATATGAATTATTGAATTATAAATTTCTAGATATAGAACAATCTGTAGATCTAGATGTTGTCACGTGCGGTCGGAACAATAGGTAGATTATATAGATTCTATAGATAATATAGATAATATAGATGCTTGGAGATTTACAGATGCACAGATCTAGAGATACAGCTAATCTGGACTCTACGAGAACAGATGACCCTCCTCCTCCTCCTCCTTTGTTAATTTTGGGACACCAGCATTAAGAATTAAGTACACAGTCTCTTTTACTTCTCTCATTTGCATTTTAGGGATCAAGACTCTATTTTGTTTAGCGTCGACCCAATTTTCAATTGATTCTTTAATTCTTATTCATCAATTATTCATCATTTTTCATAAATTTTTTGATATTTTTCATAAACCTTTTTTATAACTATTGGTTGAAACTCTATTTAACCACCTCCACTCTCCAACCACTTAATA